TAAGGAAAATATTATATGGCAAAATTAATAGTTATTACTCAGCACTGAATGAATATTCAACTAGAAAGCATTCTCAGGGTAGCCATGAAAAATCTCTTCCTCAGTCTGCTTCAGAAAACTGGTTGGGGGCTTCTGACCGGGGACTACCTCACTCTTAGATTCCCCAACTCTGCTGCTGGCAGGGCACAAATGATTCTTACTGGGACCATGAGTACTGCAGACTCGCACCCAGCACAACAGCTCCCAGTTGAAGTGCTCCCTGTTGTAAACCATTCTGCTCTCATTCATGTTCTAGAAAAGCTGTGCTCTGAAGTCAGAGCACATGCATTCGTAGAAGGATATTCCCATATTGTTGATTCTGCATTCAAAAATGAGAAATCAGACTGGGCGCAGTGGTGCACACGTAACCCCAGTAACTGAGGAGGCTGAGGCAGGAGAATTGCAAATTTGAGGCCAGCTTCAGCAACTTAAGAATGTCCTAAGCAACTTAGTGAGAGCTTTCTTAAAATAAAAGAAGGGGCGGGGGGGTGTGGATGTAGCTCAGTGTTAAAGCACCCCTGGGTTTAATCTCCAGTACCAAAGAGAAGAAGAAGAAAAGAAAATGAGAAACCAGGGCTGGAGTGTAGATTTCCTGGCACGCAGGAGGCCTTGAGTCTGATCCCCATAGCAATAAAATAGAAATAATGTGAGAAACTACATTTGGCATTCCATATCATGGGCTCTGTATCCTCCAATGCAGCTAACCAAGGAGAGAAAATATTTTGGGAAAAATATTGTGCCTATACTGAATAGGTACCCTTTCTTTCTTGTCATAACCCTCTAAAGAGTATAGTAATATAGATTGTATTAGGTATTATATGTAATTCAGAGTTGATTTAAAATAACTGAGATCATGTGCTTAGATTCTATGCACACATAGGCCATTTTAAATAATAGACTTGAGCACCCAGAGATTTTGGTATTGAGGGGTGTCCTAGAACCAATCCCCCATGATACTAAAGGACAACTGTCCTTATTTCAGGACATGTTTTAAAGCTAAAATAAAAGCATCAAGGATGATTTCTGACCTGATACCAAACAACTCCTGATTTATAATTTAGATTCCAGAGAAAAAGGAAAAGAAGAAAAATCATTACTTCTTTTTCTTGGTGAATCTAAAAATCCTTCCTTTAAAAAAAAATGCTTGATTGTTCAATTACTTGTTAAGAATTTTTCAGGTGGCCACCTCCAGTTATGAAATTATGATTCAGTTCTATTCAATGATAAAAACCCAAGTACTAAATATAAGGCTGCCCTTGAATTTTATTTTAGATTCCAGAGATGTAACATCTCTATATAGCTAAATATTATTTCTTTTAGAACAATAAAAGGATATTAATCTTAACTTGGGAAATTATGAGCAAAACATAATAGATTGCCAGTATCACGCTTTTTGCAGGAGAGTAAGAAAAGATGCACGCCAGGCCTTACCCAAGAAAATTCAGCTGCTAAGGTCCTCAGAGCCCTTCATCACAGATTAGCCCTTTCCATACGGCTAGCACCAAACAGGAGGAAATTTGAAGACTCAGAAATTCCACAAAAAGCCTGGGGTAGAAAAAAAAACAACCAGAAACCAAAGCCAACCAGAAGATAAACCTTCCCCTGAGCATTTTACTGGGGAAATGAGCCTGCAGAAGAGAATTATGTTTACACAAATAAATAAGGCTTGAATTTTAAACATACACTAATGGGCGTGTGAATTGTACAGAGCATGCGGGTTGGTCCTCAAAGCCAGTGTTGCCGAAAGAGCAGGGGCTTTGTCCAGTGAAGGAGGCACTTTCAATCTGGGAAAGGAAAAATGGTGACAGCAACACTGGAGAGCAAACGGAGAAGGTGGAGCTTAGACTCGTGATGGGACTGAAGCCCTGCGCTCTTTTCCACACCTGGAACATCATCTTTAAGTGAAGTGGATGCTTATTTGGATTTTTTTTTTTTTTGCCTCCCTGAAGATTCAGTATACATTTTTTTCTTTTTACGAATATTCATCTTTCATTAAAATTAAGTACAAAAAGGCATCTGAAAGCTCCGTCAAGGTGCTCCATCAGAAAATCCGCTGAACAGAGTTGGATCGTTATCTCTTGTAGAAGTATAATTGCCTTGCTGGGGGGCACTACCATGCTGTCCTTGAGCTCTGGAGCCCGACAGCTCATCCCCTTGTCAAGGGTGCAGTGGGGAACGTAGTACAGTTTGGGCTCCAGATTGGAATGTGTAGCCACCCCCAGTGCTGTCATTCATAGAGGCCTGTGCACAGCCCTTGTCATTGACACCCCAGTTAAGAGAACAAGGATTCTTGGAACCCATAAAAGAAAAAGAAATGCCCTCCTTTATCTTCCCTTTGTTTTGTTCTCTGTTGGCCTCTGAAGCAGGAGTCTGAATCATGACAGATCACCACTGACGCACTCGGGTCTGCTGAAGGGCGTGGAGTTGTGACCCTCTGTTGTCTCATCTCTTGGCTCCCTTTCTGACATTCACTGCACAGCCCGTGTTCTCTTCTCTATCTGCTGCCCTTGTTCTCCTGAAGCTACTTTTCCATGTTGTTAAAGCCAAGGATTTAAACCCAAAACCCTCTAAACCCAAAAAAGTGTCGCAGCCCCTGTGTGTGCCAGCCTCTCACTAAGACCAGGTTTTGAGTCTTGTAAGTCCTCTGGGCATCGGGCATGGCACCTACCTCCTAACCATTCCCCTCCTTAGCTTCTCTGATATGTCTGTGGGCTTCTTCTAACTAACTCCTTTTGGATTCCTTCCTAGGCTCTTATGAATCAATCTTCCCCAGAGGTGTGGTCCTTAGCCCTGTTCCTGTTCCCTCCTTGAGCCACCTTGCCTGCTCCCATCTCCTCAGCCACCCTCTCTGTGGATGGACTTCCAGATCTGATCCTCACCTCTAATTTCCTGTGTGACATCTGCACCTGAGATCACACAGAGCATATGCAGGAGCGGTTTCCCCTTGTGTCTGTGCAAAAGCACGTTCCCCCCCCCCAGTACTCTACCTCAGTCACCAATGGCTTCTTCGCCTGTGACCACTCCCACTCACTCACTGGGGCTCCTCCAGTTCTCCACTGCTTTACTTCAGCCAGGCTTGGGCTCCTCTGGAGTTGCACAACAATGTCTTGCCTGCCTGTGTCTAGGCTCCAGCTGTTTCAACGCATCTTCCACACAACCACTACTTTTTCTGCAACACAAACTTGGTTGTGTCCCTCCCTACTTAGGTCTTCCAGTGGACTCTAAATTGACAGAGTAAATCACAACCTTCCAAACCTACTGTGTCCCCCTCATTTCCCATCAGTTTCATAAACTTACAACATTATTTCTCACGTACGTGTGTGTGTGTGTGTGTGTGTGTGTGTGTGTCTTGACTCTGCTGCTGTAACAGACATTTTTGTCCTCTTGTCACTTGGGAAATTCCTATTCGTCCTTTAAAAGTCAGCTTAATCACTCCTAGCAGGCATTCAGGGTTTGTTGAATGAATGAATGATTAAAGACTTGCTTCAGTCTCGCATGCAAAGTGAGATTCTCCCCATTCACTTCTCGGGAGGCACTCTGTTCATATCCTTGTTGTTGCATTCATCATCATTTCGTTGTAGCTATTCTTCATATCTGACCAGAACAGGAATGACCTTGAGTGGCTCCTGCGGGTGCTGCCCCTTTCACTCCTTCTCTCAAGGTGGATGTCATGCCCAGCTATCTTTCCCACTGAGCCTAGTTGCAGCTAGAATCCTTCTCAACATAGCACTCAGGCAGCTTCTTTTAGCAGAGTAGGATTTGCACCCTCTGACACCCCCTGCAATAGATAGAGCTTTTCCAGTGAGGAACACAGTGGGCTGCCCCCGAATAATCAGTGAGTTGCTAAAAAAATAACAAGTGGATTTTTTCTTAATACTAAATAATATATTGGTAATTTAATCTTAATGTTGGCTACATATTGTTTCATGCTACAGATAAATCTGTTCAGGAGAATGTATTCATGGCAAGAGATGAGTGAGGTGATTTTCTGGAATCCATTGTTCCACTTTGCAGAAAGTTCTTTACACACACATTCATTTAACCAAACTATGACCTGTGCAGCCCAGCCCTCTCTATCTACAGAATCTAGTCACTGAGTTGCCTTAAAACTAGCGTACAGCATATTATTTCTGCTAGCCTTGCCTTTGATTTGCCTTGCACATTTTTCAAAAGTGATTGGGAAAAGCATTAAAAAGATGAAAGTATGTAACCTTATATTCCATTTTCATAATATTTCTTTTTGGAAATTGCAAAAGAAGATTGGCAAGTCTAGGTAATTTGAAAACTAGTTAAAAACACTATAAGAGAGCTTCCTTTTTCCATACTGTATGAAACAGTAAATATCAAATAACAATACTCCTAATAAATTTTTGTCTTTGAAACAGGTTTGGTAACCCTCAGAAAGATATGTCAAAACAAACAGGACAATTTTGAAAGACGATATTGAAAGACCCTTTCCAAAGGTCAAGCAGAAGATACAATATAATTATCATTATCAAGTTCAATGTGTTTCATTCACTGTTCAAATAAAAGCCTTCTTTAGATCTGGTTGCATTTGAGAAATTAAAAATGGAACATTGTTTAATATAAATGAAGAAATCAAGAAAGTTTATATTTTATCCCTGATTCCCTTAATATTTACGTACAACAGCTGTTGTCAAAAGCACAAAGCAGAAGATTCTTGCGTGTCAGTCCTTGCGTGTCAGTGCAATACAGTAAACAGATGAGAAAACAAGAAAGAAAAGAAGAGACGGGCCTGCAAAAGCCTGCAGCAATTTCTAAAATAACAGTTTAACCACATCTGCATATATCTTGAAGCCTGTTCTCCTTTTGTAGCATCCTTTAATTTTTAATGAGTTTATGCTGTTGGTGAATTGTTGAAATGATTTCCTCTCTCTCACCTTTTCATGTGTTTTCTCTCCTATTCTGTTCCTACCTGTCTTATCTGGAAACTCCATCAGGCTAACTGTCAGGTAGGTTTGTCTTGATGTTTAATGTGATTATTAAGAGTATCCAAGGAGAAAAATCAAGTAAACAGTGTGTTGGTGACCAGTGATGGATGATGAGACTAAACAGAAAAGGCACATACTAAATTACAGAGAAACTTTTTGCAGATTCATAAAACTGAAGAGGCTGCAAACCCTAAGCACATTAAGCCAGTGTGAACATCTATCATGAGAACTTAGCCTAAGGGAATACAGCAGCTCTCCATGATTAAGTAGGTTACCTGGACTGTCCAGCATTTGGCTATGACTCAAAATACAGACTGCTCCTGGAGGATTTACTTGTTACAGAGCAGTTTCATATCCTTCGTGGTCACACGTGATTCTACTATAAATATAACATCAGCTTCTTTGGTTTGGGCCAGATTCAAGAAAAATTCACAGTGATATATTTTAAATTCCTGCTTTAAGTACATATCCAAACATCTCCTGTGACTTAAAGATTGTGACTAAGTGGTGGGCAATGGTGACATATATTTTATGAATGTTAAATGCACCCTAGGAGTTAAACCTGATGTGGTTTAAGCCTTGTCAAAGGAATGGAGACAGAGCCCCTCATTTTCCCACTGGTGCCAGGAATCCTCCTGCACCCACATGAAACAACGGGGCAAGCACTTTTTACATCCTCAAGTGCAAGACAGATATTTTATAAGCCCAAAGCACAGCTAAGCCCAAGAGAAGAGAGACAGACATTTAAATTAGAGTGTGTTTGGGGGTATACTTGATATGAGTGTGTGTGTGTGTGTGTATGTGTGTGTGCATGTGTTGTTTTTAACTTGAGTTCATTTTTATCTTTCGAGAGGAAAAATTATGTGCTTCAGTTGCCATGCAACAACACAGCTCTAACAGCTTTCTAATTTTAATTTCAGAAGTCTACAGAGCAAATGAAGAAGGTCCCTACTATTATTCTCTCAGTCTCATATAAAGGAGTCAAATTTATTGATGCAACAAATAAGGTAGGCACCACCCCTCTCTTGGATTTAAACACCAGGTATAGTCCTGAGTATGTGATCTAAAATCCCATTTGAGTCACTCCTCATCCCCCACCTTCATGCTTCCTGCTCATACCTGGAAATTCATTCTCTCTCTCTCTCTCTCTCTCTCTCTCTCTCTCTCTCTCTCTCTCTCTCTCTCTCTCCCCCTCTCTCTCATTCATATATATGAAATACACACACACACACACACACACACATCTCATCCATGAAGGAAAATCGAGTAAACAGCCCGTTGGTGGCCAGTGATGGATGATGAGACTAAACAGAATATAAATATTACAGAAAGGCTTGTTTTATTTCAGGGTCTTGATCTTGAACATATTTTGCTTTTATCTTTTTATGATGTCTTCTCTAACAGACCATGACCCCTTACCTGGCATGTTCCTTGGTAGCTAGAGAACATTAAAACGGGGGGTGGGCAGGGGGGAATCACTTAAAAGAAACAATGTCATCTTTCCTCCATGAAAAGAAAGATTACTAATCGGAGGGCTGGTACATCTCTGTGGAGATATCTATGTCCTTTCCTTTGGTACACAGAATGAACACCTGACACAGGAATGCACATTCTTCCACCTTTTGTTTTCTGTAACTACTTTTAATTCCCATCTCCAGAGATGGAAGAGAGTTTCAACTGTTTTGTTTTCTCAAGAGACACTACCAGAAAAGCAACTCTGCTATGGGAGTGGTCAGCAATTCTGAGGTCAAGTGTGGGCAACTGAGTTTTGTTTCACTTGAAAAGGATTCTACAGCTCCTTTGTGGACAAAGACCTCAGAATCCTCGTACTGAACTTGAAAGTTTATCCCCACCTGTCTTACCCCACTCTCCATAAATTCAAAGCTGACTGGCTCCTTTTCACAAAACCCTAAGTGTCCCTGGGTTTTATTTTCTCACCCTTTCTATTGAAAAAGTATAGGAAAAAAGAGATGAGGTGACCACTATTGGTGGACAGCAATTTCTCTTCTGCCCTGCACACCTAGACCCCCACCTGGACCCTCTGAGTTTTGGAGAAAAGGAATGGGAAGTTATGAAACAGACGTACTTAAACCTGGCGTTAGATACCAGGGAAAAGTTCCATGGGCAATGACCCTTTGGTGTCTATAATCGACCAATTAGAAGTTTTCTTGATTGGTTTTCTGTACAATTATTGCATTGGCAATCAGCTAAGCCAATTGAGCTAAGCTACTTGAGAAAGCAAGCTCAGTTTTAGAAAAATTCTGAAAGTCAGGCAGACAGCCTGTAACACAGCATTATCATGATGGCTAACAATAGCCAAAGCACTTTGAGAGCGAGCTGCCTGACGTGTGTAATGATGATGTCAGCCATTGAGTGTGTTGTCGACCGTTCCCATGTTGTCAGATTACAGTTGCGGAGACTCAAATCAGAATGATCCCAATTGATTTTTCTAATTTTCTTGGAAGCAATTTTAGTTCCCGGTACATAAAAGTATCTTATCCCTAAATTATATTCAGCTGTTTAAAAAGTTCTAAATGAAACACTCATTGGGTATCATTGCTATCTTTAAACAAAGATTTTGGTGCCTAGATTTTTCCTACTAACCTGGAGAAACTGTCCACTCCATCTGCATTTGAAAGACTTAAACAGCAGTATATTTTCAGTGAATAAGTTTGCCACTCTCTTAGCTGACTTAGATTCTGATGATTTCTAAACAAGGGGCATTTGCCCTGGGAAGTTCCTACGGTCTTAAAACTGTCTTTCAGTGGTGGCACAACTGACTGCATCTGTCCTTTCTGACCCAGTCTCCACCATCACAGCACTGAGGGAGAACTCTGACAGGTCTGTTTCTTTTTGCTCACCGACACATGGAGGTATGTGAAGCCAATGCTCCTGTACCTCTAGGAGACATTTCTGACTCAGTCACCAATAATTAGATGAGTTACTCATACACAACTGCTTGCCAGTGACTCTTCTTTGGAAGCATCAGCAAAGAAAGATATGCAAAAGATAATTTTATATAAAGGTAGATACAAACAAAGAAGGCCAGCATACCTTTCAAGTCCTTGCAATGTGGTCCTCGGAATATTTTTGGAATATTTTTGAAATCTGCAATGGTGAAGTGCAGGTGCCAGCAGCAGGTGGGGCCACCCTCTCTATGACTGTATAGCAAGCAATACATGCCTGGCTCTTTCTGGAATTTGAGGACATTGACTTCAACCAGCTGGGCAGCTAATCTCCCTGCCATATGATAGTGGAAAGAGATTAGGGGACGCAGAGTGATAGACCATTGGTTGCCACGTGCGAAGTCAAAGCACAGAGATTGTTTTTAGAAGACAGAATAGTGCAAGGCTGCACTGGAGAAATTGGAATTAGAAGGCTAAAGCATGACCACCAGCCAGGGCTGAAGGACTGGCTTCAAAGGTGCAGAGCTCTGCAGGGAGGAAGCAGACTGATAAACTCCAAAGTCCTGCTCCCTGTTTTTACCTCAGATTCCCCCCACTGGGAAGTGTTGTCTAGGTGGGCTGCTTTGGTCTGAAGTGAAGACTTTGTGAAAGGCAAGTGTATTTGGAGATCTCATTATTATTTCAGGTGCTAGTGGCCACTAAGCCTATACAGAGGCACCCTACTATTAATAGTTGATGTGGTCCTGTTCTTCAGCAGCGCTCTCCTAACCACGCATCCTCTCCCCACTCCGCTGGTGAGACAGAGGGGTTGTCTGCCTGCACTGGCCAGCTGGAGGACCTGAAGGCTTCCGTCCCTTGGCTGCCCTGCCTTCACACAGCCTGTGGTCATGGAGAAGGGTTAAAACTTGATTTCCTGCTCCCTAACTTGATGCTTCTGTTACTCCACAAGTGCCTTCCGCCAACTAGTTTGAAGTAGAATGGATAATTAATTATGTGTTAATTGCCCTTCCCTTCCTATTAGCCCCCATTAGACTGTGGTAAAAGACAAGTCTTCCATGGAAGTATTTCTTTCTTTTATTCTAATAAATAAATAGCTTTGGCTGAGTTCGTGGGGAAGGGTTAGGCACCTTAGTTATAAATGCATAAATGTATTGCCTAGCAACTTAGGAAACGAATCACTAATCCTGATTTAAGAAAGAAGAAGCAGAGAGTGATCTTGAAATGCAAATGGAACTTGGAATAGATTTAGTCCTAAAGCGTTTCAGAGGAATCACATCAGCTTGCTGTGGATCCACAGCCCAGAGGTAGCTCCCGCAAGGAATTGGCCTGGAGGCTGTGACTCTTTGGTTACAGACAAAACCTTTCCTCAGATCAGCGGGGTTTTCCAGGAGGTGACCTAGTTCCTGCATCAGGGGAGCGCTAAGGGTTCAGTGGCCGTTTGCGTTCCTATACTGGCTCCCTGCTCAGTCTTCCATCCGGCTGAATTAGGAACAATGCCAGGCCAGAGTTTGTTTTTTCTTTAATTGTTAATTTTTTTTTAATGCCAACTTCAAACGTGACCAATGGTATTTTATAGGCTCCAAATATTTGGAACATCTGCCTCAGCAGGTGCCCACTGTTTTCTGTAGCACATACTTCTCAGAAAATTGGAGTCAGCTGAGACCACAGTCCACGTGTGTGCTGCTGTCCTTGACATCAAGTGCTCCAAGGGTGTCTTCAGTCAGCCCTCAGCCAGAGCTGTGCCTTCCTTCTGGGGCACTTTCTGAAGGAGACGCTGCTATCTCTCAGGAAAAGCCTGGCCTTGGGAGAGACTCAGGTGGATCCCCCTCATGGCAGAGCTCAGATTGAGGGCTGAGGCCAGAGGCAGATTTCTAGGCTGCATCACTTCATTACCTCCTGTCCTTCTTAGAACCACCTTATTAATTGGCTGCACCAAACAATTCTGTTCTCCACTGGCCCAGCCATCCATCTCTTCAACTGTTTCTCCCTGTTGAAAGTAAGCTGCCAAACTGTCTATCAGGCCTCCCCAGTCCTCTTGAGGCTTTTAAAAGCTCTGGTCTCCTTAGAACATGCTTAGAAGGAGGGCTAATTCCATATGAGGAGTCTGGTTCTAAGCTGAGGAACAACTGTACCTCATAGTGACCTCACCTTTTACCTTGAAGAGGACCTACTAATTGATGTGAGACTGGGAGGAAAGAATGCTTTCCTACTTGACCTCTTCTCCAAGGAGGAAGCCAACATCCAGTCTCCATAGAGTCTACAGCTACGAATGTCCTTGGCTTTGGATCCCTCCTACATGTAGAGAATTGGCCTCACCATTCTGCGATGGTGGCCAGTACGGAGGAAGTTCCACGGTGAGATCTCTATCCTCACCACATTCTAGGGCTGGGGATGTGTCAAGATAATAAAATTATCTTGCTTTCCTCCTAGCTTAGGCTGTGGGAACAAGGGAAAAAAGTTTCCACAGAGAGGGAAGAGACTGGTTTGGAGTACAGATGTCAGGCCTCAAAGGGCCATTTAAAAGGCTGCCCTGGGCTCCTGAGAATAGAGAGTAAGGGGCTCCAGAAACTTGTGGAACTGGGGGTTCAAAAGAAGATGAAGGGCGAGCACCAAGAATCCACTCTACCTACCTTGGAGTTGTGCCCAGGGCCATGATGCTGCCACACACTATTGAAAATCCTCAATAGTAGCATCCTTTGAAATGGCCAAGAGTCAAGGAAATCCATGCAATAAAACTCACAGGGCTATTGAAACTTCTGCAAAAAGTTGATCTGTCTTATGCTGGCAAAGGATCTCAGAACACAAAATGCCAATTTAGTTAAAAGTTGGAGCTAGTGCTCTTTTTCCTGTGATATAGATCCAGATAGGTGAGACCAAATACACCCAGACTTCCCCAGGGCACCAGCAGCCCCCTGTCCGGTGATGGCAGACATTCCACACTTGCTGACGTCACACCTTTAAAGACTACCTAAATTTTAACATTTCTTTTAAGACTCACTAGTTCCTGATGTCTTGTTCTACTTGAAGAAATGCTACCTGGATACAAGAAGAGAATCATGACCTTTACTTTGAAACTGTATCTTACAGTAGAATGTTTCTTGTTTATGGGATTACGGTTTCAATTTGAGTTATTTTTTATAGAGCCATTGCATGTAGTGACAGCATACAAGGCCACAGTGAAGAATGTATTAATTTAATTTTCTTTTTTGTGTTAATTCTGTAATTGCTCCCCAACCACACCACTCTGTGGAGTGAGGGACATGAAGTGCTTGCTCGGGGTGCTGGCAGGGAAGGACATTTTGAAAGCATTTTTAGGCATTAATGGGTACATGCAGAACACTGTATTGCCAACAGGTTCTTTAAGACTGTGCAATTAAAAAGTCATTAGGGTAACTAAAGCACTGAGGGTTTTAAATCTGTGTCAACTGCAAAAAAAAAAAAAAAAAAAACATAAGTGGGATATTATAAGATGAAAAGCAATGGCACTATTATGGGATTTGCTTTGCTTTTTAAATGCATCTGTGTATCAGAAGGAATTTCTACCAAGTTTTGTAGCCAGGATGATGCTCCATGGTTATTATGTTCTTTGGGACAATGGCACTAAACCTTTCCTCCCACCAGTTATTCTTGGAGACAGGCAGGGATGGGGCAGAGAGGAGGAGAAACAAAGAAATTCTAGAGAAGGAAAAATGCAATTCTGTTAAACTGGGAAGAGAAAGTGGGGGATGACGAAAGGGCATCGCAGGGTACTCGAAAGAGCCAGAGCTCTACGAGCGACCTCAAGATCCAGCCCCAGCTCCACACCTGCCCCATTTAAGGCATGGAAACCCTCTGAGGCCCAGTTTCCTCACCTGTAATATAATAATGGTAACAGTGGCACCCACCTTATAATTACACAGGTGGTTTTGAGAAGAAAGGATTGTCATATCCATAGGTCCCTGAATCCAGCAAGGTATCCAATGCCTGAATATGACAGTGTGGCATTTCCCTTATCCTGCCCTAACACCACAGCCACCACACAATCTCAAGAGAACACCCAAAGGTTTCTTTCTGCCTGCCTGCCTTGTTCTGTACCTGCCAGCATGCTCGAGGCCCTGGGTTTAATCCCCAGGACCCCAAAAGAAAAAACAGGACAAGCAAGCACAAGCCCTGTGGGGAGGGCTTTGGACAGCTCCTTGGGTCATAGTTCTTCTCACGCACAGAAAGTGGCAGATGACCCTTTCCAAACAGAATTAGCAGGAAGCAGGCTGCTTATCTTCAACTGGATGTGGAGAATGGAAACAGTAAAATGCTTAGTAATTACTGTTTTTCTAAAAAGTGTCTGCCACCCAGACTGCTTCCGCGCACAGCACCTGGTGAGAACCCTGCTCCAGGATATGACTATTTTAGGTTGTTTTTCATTAAATGAAAACATTCCTTCCAGACCTGGCGTACATTTGCCCACGGGTAGCACTTTGGATCACTTTGAATGTTGCTGGTCTAGAACACTCTAGAAGAAGGAAAGCAGCTGCTTCCTAGGTTACTTGTTTTGGTTCTAAAGTATGATGGTTTCAAAGGAAAACAATGGTCATTTGTGTAATTTCTTCCAGAACATAATTGCCGAGCATGAAATTCGTAATATCTCCTGTGCTGCCCAGGACCCAGAAGACCTCTCAACCTTTGCTTATATCACAAAAGATTTGAAGTCCAATCACCACTACTGTCACGTGTTTACGGCCTTCGATGTGGTGAGTCCTGCCCTCCTGGGACAGAGAAAATATTTCCCCAAAATGTTCCTGGATTTTGTTGAAGGCCCAGCTTGTGAGTAACACATTAGCTTGGCTTGTTTACCGAACTAAGATATACCAAGAGTGTTAGTTTTCTCAGGCGATCATAATAAAATACCACAGATTGGGTGATTAAGCAACAGAGGTTTTTCACACATTTCTGGAGACTGGAAGTACAAGACCTACCTGTCAGCCAGTTTGGTTCTGAGGCCTCTCTCTCCCGGCTTGCAGATGGCTGCCTTCTCACTGGGTCCTCACATGGTCTTTCCTATGTGCATAGCTGTCTGTATCCAGATTTCCTTCTCTTCTAAGGGTAGCAATCAAATTGGATTAGGGTCCATGGCAATGGCCTCATTTTAACTCAGTCAACTCTTTAAAGGCTCTGTCTTCAAATAGGATCACATTCAGAGGTACTAGGGGTCAGAGCTTCAACGTACAAAGTTTGAGGTGCCACAGTTCAGCCCACAATAAGGGGTACAAAGAACTTTGGCAACTCAGCTTTTCTTGGGTATTTCTGTATTTTCACTGTTTCATTCAATTCAGAACTCTACTCCTGCCTGGACCTCAGTTGTCATTACTCAAATACCAACTTCACTTTTCACATTTCAGAAATTCTTTTTCTCTTCTGGTAAAAAAACACAGGAAAGTTCTTTCCATCTATTTGTTCCTTAACTACAGCCAACAGTTTCTCCAGTAACCATTCTGAGCACTAGGACATAATGGGTGTGTTTGTCTCCGCAGTATTTGCAATTTTCTGTATTGGATAGTGGTGAAATTAGACACCTACAAGTAATAATTGGGGACTCCGAGGTCTGGCCCATATGCTCATTCAGAAGTTAATCTTATAATGACTTCTTCATGCAGTCACACCACTTTTATTCATAACTTGTCAGTATGCCTAAAAATGAGTTCATATATTACAAACTTGGAAAATGAAAACAATTTAAGAAGACGATAAATACCCACAAGATGGTACAGATTGCTCGAAGCTGTCCCTAGTGCAGAACATTGGACGTTTGCAGTTGCAACAGACAAAACAGATACGACTGTGACCCTGGAGTAATTCATAATCAGAAGAATTTTAAAATGCCACTTCAGTTTGATTATTCGGCTCTGTTCATTGGATTTTAAAATGTAGAGATTTAGAGAAACAGACAGAAGTCACATGTGATGTACTCTTGGGAGGCCAGCCTATGGTTCAGCGCCATGGGTAGAAGACCATTTGAAGCAATCTCTTCAATTTCTGACAAACACCATAAACCAAGGCCAGCTGTAATCCAAAACTGACACCACCCTACAACCTGTCAGGTTTATGCTCGTAGCCTTTGTGTCCTGCTGCATGTTGCTCATCCCTTTTAGATTTTTAAAGATTGAAAATGGGAAAGGATATTCATGGACCTTTAAAAACATTCCTTCTATTTTGGGAAGCATGAGGAGAATAATATAAAAACGGTATGTGGTAACAGTAAGGACTGCAAAGCAAAGCCCCCCCAAGGCTGCTCTAAAAATCTCTGGTTGTGTTTATTTGTACAGGATTAAAGTGTTGATTAAAGTCATTTCATTCGGGGTTTACAAGGATGTGCAGCATTAGATTTCTGACGCCTTAAACGTAACCTGCCACTGTTGTGAAATGCAGTTGCTTCTTTGAACAGTCAAATTTCATTCCATCCACGTATATTTTGGGTTGCTTGTAACACGTCTCTCCATGGGAGTTGGATTGCTGTTGTAGACAGAGCAGGCAGACCAAGTTCACATCCATGATCAGCTACCTCCTCATTCCCCGGTCTTTGACAAATTTTAAAACTTTTCAGAGTCCCAGTTTCCTTACCTACAAAACAGAGACAAGGATCTGTGTCCCACAGGTTTCACCAGACTGAAATAAAAGAACAGGTGAGAGGCCTGCAGTGTTGGTTCCTTTGCCATCTCTTCCCTCTCCCTGCCTGTTGGCATCTGCTGACAGTCTGTCCCTTTTTCTGCTAAAAAACAGATAAGTTTTCCAGAAGCACATTATCAGGCAGTTTTCCTACTGCCATTCTAAAAGGACTTAAAACACAGAAATAAAAAATTAAAATAGAAGCAATGGAAAGAAAGCATTGAGTCCTTAGAACTTACTGCCTCTAAACAGTGTTTTTAATGAACATCATCAGAAATATTCTGATGCTTTTTCAGGATGATTTCAGCCTCTTCCTTGAATATTGCAGCATTTCTTTCAATAAAATTGATTTTTAGGGTAATATATAATTTGCTTTCATGAGAGTATGAAAAGCATTGTTCTATATTCAGACTAAAAATGATACCTGTGGGCCATCTGCCTCCCAGGTTCTGTGACACCAGAATATGCAGCTGAAATTGCAGGGGGGATCATCAAACTAAAACTGTTTAGTTTTATGATCAACATAATGTCCCTGATTATATTTGGAAACTGTGTAGAGAATTGCTTCAACTTTTATCTTTTCATCCAGATGTTTGATTTAACGTAGACATTCACTAGCTTAGGATTCTCATATCTGCTCCAAAGGATTTTCATCTTACACAGATCTGCCATTTTAATCCTCTCTAGGTGGACACAGTTTGTCTAACTTCAAAAATAGTAACAAAGGCCAGCAGTCTTGACCTGGTCCTTTGAGCAATTCTGAGATGCAACAAGCTTTGCTTGTGCTAAAAAAAAAAAAAAAAAAAAACTTCTTTGAGAATGGATTTTATATCTTTATATGGGGCAGTTCAATATTTCAGTCCAGTATTAAAGCCTTCAAATTCTTTTGATGTGAGTCAGTCTTCTGGGATGCCCCAAATGACAAATTTTTTTTAAAAAGGAATTCCTTATAATACCTCAAGTGCACATTTAACCTTTGAGCTGATATGAATGAGTACACATACATTTTAATTTCAAGGTTGTTGTTTCTTTGACCTTGTAGACCTTTTATGGGCTCCATTTTTATGTACTCTAATCACATTTCATGTGTTTTTATCTGCTATCCTCAAGAAAATTCAGTGACATCTAGGAAGTTTCCAGTTTATGGATAGTTAAATTTGAAATTCAGAGTATTTCCCCCATAGAAACTCCGTGGTCTAGGAAGGAACCACAAAGCCCCCTATAGAAGCTCCAAAGTGAGTTTGACCTGGTTTACATGCTACAGGACCCTGCAGAGCCCTGCCATGCCCAGGAAGGAGGGAGTATGCTGAGCTGTTTCTCAAGTTTACCTGGCCCTGGTAGCCTTTTTCAGAGAGCACTTCACAGGGCTGCATTCTGCAGAACACTTTTGGGAAATGTTACACTGATTGAGTTCTGTTTCCTTGACTTAGAATCTATGATCGATTCGATTTGTAATATTTTCAGTTTTAGATGACAAATACATGAGCAAGATGAAATGAGGGTCAATGTGTACTTACAGGTTGGCACCCTACTCTAGAACCTTACTATCATGGCAGCTGATTTCTGTTTGCATCACTGAATGACCAGCCCTGGAACACATCTCACCTCCATAAAAGGTTTTCCCACCCCATGATCTCTCACTATCACTGTTCTGGACAGTGATGTCTTAGGGGAAGAGGTAGCAGTAGGGATGGGTAGAAAAGAAGGACATCTTTTGAGACCAGGAGTTGTGAAGGTTAAAAATTGATTCATCTTTTGCCTCCTCCATTCTTATCTCAAATGGGATTGCAAGAGGGGGGGAATTGAGATGGGAGTAGAGGAGGTAAAAGCTCCACTCCCAATGACCACCAGATCCCAAGGCTATGGTCATCTTCCTGAGAAGGCCACTATGGGTAAGCTAATAGATACAACCAAGGTAATTGGTTGTCTAATTCACTCAATCTAGAGTACTTAGTAGTAAAATTGGTATAGGTAGATCAAAAAGATTTTGATGCATTCTCTGTGAGAGTATCAGCTGTGCTATAAAAATTTGGGAAGGGCCTAATTCAGTAGTTTCAAATATTGAGAGATTTTCTTGTTCTTTTCTCCTTAATAGCATTTGAAGCCACGCCTTTGCTGCTAGACCCTTACTAATTCTCATTTCTCTATCAAGAACATGTTCGCAGTCTCTGGTATTTTTAACCATGCCCATTTTTCTCTTACTGGCAATTCCCAAATTCTGTCCTCTCCGTGTGCAGCTCAGGTGAGACTGAGACTGGCTCAGGAATGTGCAGGGAACATTGAAGTCATGGTGCTGGTAGGCGATGCAGGTGGGAGATGGAGCACCCTCTTCCCTGTGCTTTCTTGGCTGAGGGTGGGCCACAAAAGGACCTAAACTGGAGAGACAGAAATGACATCATGCATGAGAACATGGCCAGCCTCCTGTGATGGCTTGCTGTAGTACTCTACCACCAGCAGGTACCCAGCAAGCGAAAACATAGGGAGAAAAATGCTGGAGTCAAACACACTGCAATGTCTTAGGTGAAAAGGGAGCAGAATGGGTGGGTAGAAAAGAAGACTGTCTTGTGAGACAAGGAGTTGGGAGGGTTTACAATGGAGCCAGCTTTTACCTCCTCCACTCCCATCTCAAATGAGTGGGCCCTACATGGCACATGGCTGTGGGTCTGTTATGAGATTGTTTCTTGTTTTTTTCATCAGCTTAATGATATCTAAATTCCTAAACTTCTTAAACTCAGATTATTTTGGTAGAGTATTGAGGTTCCTGAAGAAGATCGTAAATGGCTTACACTGCAGTTGGCCCACAAAGTGGGAAATCAAAGGTGCAAAAGAACTTAGTAGTGGTGCTGATGTTAGCTGACCTCTGACCACTAAATTGTTTGTGGAGGTAGGTGGTCACTTTCATTCTGTTTCTCATTTTCTCTAACTGAAAATGGCCTCAACCTATTTGACTTTGAAAATAAATGGCAATCTTAAAGAATGTGAACATGTACAAAGCCCTTAAAACTGAGCCATCCTGCATTCTCTGGCTGGAGTCCACAGAGGTAGTAGAGCAGCAGCCAACAGGGAAATCAGGAGCCACTCCCTGGCC